TAAAAATCTGTGGTGACGGTGGAAAATGGTTATTCTAGTGGATTTTTTAATCAGCTAGTAAAGCAGCAACAACAACAACAACAGGGATGGTTGGAAGTTTTGGTTCAACCTCTATGTGTGCAGAACAATGCAGATAATTCAAAGATTTCTATCGTCAAAACTCTGTTTCAAAATATAAATGGCCCTGATTTTGGTGTCACTTTTAAGTCATATTATTACGGATATGAGGATATCCTGGAAACTGATGGAGATTTTCTGGACGAAGCCGCTCCTCTTTGACTTTTACTTAGCAAATCGGGGTCCGGCAAAACACGAAAAATACTATTATTTTATCCTCCCCCAAAATGAAAGGGACCCTGACTTTGGAGAAACTGTTAAACCACTTCGCGCAATATTTGGTGATTGATTGTCTTTGTTCAGCATACCCCTTCAATGCCTAAACCTTTCTAATGCGGCTGAGGTAGATTTTGTCTCATACGCCTTCCATACTAATCGTGAATGCGAACGCTTCAAATTCAAAAATGTTATTTTTGTCTCTGGTTTCTACTGCCCCGGGTTGCAACATTTTACTCACGAGGGCCATGAGAGCGTCTAATTAATTTAAACACGACGATAAAATGATTCAAAAATCGGGAAATCTGACAATCCCTGAAGTGAATATATTAATCACATCCGAAATACGGCAAAACAGACCTCGCATATTGGCACTGTGGACAGTGGGACACTTCAGTCAATTTTACCCATACAGGCAACGTAACCGCGGAATCTGTGATGTGATTGGTCAACCATCTATCACCGTCACTATAAACCGAAACCAATCCATACTGCAAGCACCAGATGTCGCAGCTCATCGATCCTCACTTATGCCATGAGGGCCCCCCGATTTTCAATGTCATTGAAAGTATTTTCAAATTTGTATCAAAAATGGAACAGTCATATTAGAAGTGGATACAGTTTTTGATGTGGCCATCGTTTCTTCAACCACCTGGAATTTACTGAGTTATACCAGTTTTTCAGAAAACCACTCACATTGCCGGGGAAAAAATATCAATTATTGATCAGTTCAACTATGCATTATCATTTCGTGATTGTCGTTCTTGTGTCATTTTCTACCGATCTAAACTTGATCATTTGGATCTGCTCGCAGTTGATTGAATAGATAAATTGAATTTGTGACAATTTCTCTGAAATGAAATTTGTGACTGTTCTAATACTGACGAGTCGGTAAAGTGTGCAAACATGAATGTTCTACCCCCCCCCCCCCGCCACACACACACACTTAAAAACTGACTACCCCCGTGTGATTTCGGATTTGTGCTGTAAAACAAACGCTATCGCTGAAGGTTACGCATACTGGCAAGTTACGAATCAGCAAAGTTAAATTTTGCAAAAATTGTTTAACAGCCCCGAAACTATCATCTAGGGCCGAACATCAATCATGGAAATCAGCCGCTGCGCCCTGGCCACCTATTCACATTGATAATGCTGGCCCCGTTGAAGGTATGTATAACCTAAAAGGTCTTGAAGCATATTCTAAGTACCTCGAAGTTATTCCGATGCGCGTTTTAATTGCATCTGTCTTCATAGCAGCCCACTGCATCCATGTAAACATATGCGTTTAGTGGACAATTCTTGGAGTACCAGAAAGCGCCAACGTACCAGCAACGACATGCCCAGATAATAAATCACAGTCGGAACCCAGTTCCAAGGCTATGGACAGCAGTTCTTATCACGGAAACGATAGTCTTTCCCATCTCGAATGTCACCTAAGATGTTCTCGCAATTTCCACCAACCCAATTCCATGTTATTTGGCACATTCACGAATGAAAACAGACGAGAATTTCGGTCCCGTGATTGCAATAACAATGGTGGAAGTCATAGAGAAATTAACTGTCGACTGAAGTTCCGGATCCTCTGTTCATTTGGTGGCAGTTGATCGAAATTCTGATTTGAACTAACCATCTTTCAAGCAAAATCATGTTCTCCCAGTCAACTATACACCCGAAAGCACTAGACTCCAGTTAGTTAGAGCTCATCAATAGTGCATATCCACCGTCCCGTCCGCGCTTTGAACTCCGCGGTCTGAAGGATAGCCAGTTCACACCAATATCAACAATCACAAGTAACTGGAAGTTAAACGATCGAAGTTTGTGGACTTTCCCGAATATGAGTTGCGCTCAGTTTGTCGGAGTGCTTCACTTCTTACGAACACAAAGCATCTTCTGATGAGGAGCGACAAGATGGACACCAATGATGGTTTTCCCCAAATCTGATCTGTCCCCACACTGCAGATCTTTTTCAGGTCGTCCGACTGTACAAATTCAAGTTTCCAACTTGTGAAGTTTCTTTATGATAACGGAGGCTTGTCACTAGTAGAATTGTGGAACGACCCAATCATCCGGGAAATGGGCCGTCATCTTGCATTCTCAGTTAAAATAGTATGCGTTTAGTTAGAAGTAGCTAAAATGTGTTGTGTCATCTGAAATGCCATTATTCATGTTTTTAGTCGATGTATCATGTGAGAATCGATCTTCATCCCGCTCCCCAGCTCTTCCTCGGGTTGTGATTCGACAGAAAAACCATTAATTGGCAATAACTGGTCGGATGGGAAACGTGACTCGGGATGCCCTAAGGCATCTTGCTCAGTAGATGTGCGAACGCTATAACGACTGCTCTTCAATATTACGCACAACTGGATTCCATGCCGAATAGACTCGAAAAAGACCTAAAAACAATGGCAGACCAATCAACTATTAGTGTACATAAAGCTTACATCTTAATTATTATCAACGTTAATTTGTTGTGAATAAAAACTGTTCCATTCTCTTTAGTTACGTCTTAACTCATCATGGTCTAGGTCAACTACTACTGACGAAATGGGAGTATCCGCTACATTCTGAACCATTCTATCTACTGAGTATAAACGAATCAGAAAACTCAATGCTATAAAGACTCAGCAAGACTTGTTTATTATTATTTCGAAAAAAATTACTTCAGTATAAATGCTGTTGCCTATGGGAACCTACAAGTGTTTCACAGGGACCCGTTGCATCAGTTTCGATTAGACCCGCACATAACACAAAAACATCATCTGAAACATACCATCGCATTTCCTGGCCACACGAAGGATAACGAATGAAGAAATCGATAGTTCTTCTTCGAGACCCAGCAAATTGCCCTCAGTGATCTTGTTGATTTTTGGTCGTTGAAAGTAATCACCAACTATGTTACCTACTACTCACAAGTGAGTAGTATCTCACAATACTACTATTAATACCTGGTGACTAACACTCTTGTCAAACTGAACTCTTTGACGTACGTGCGCTAGCGCGCGCACACACACACGATCAAGATCAACCTCCATCGGAGTTCGAACAATATCGTTACGCAAGCATGCTACCAACTCGACCATTCGGCAGCTGATCAGACCGCTTCTCCAACCGAGTCATAACTCCGGAGACTAGTGCTGAGATGAGCGAGGTCCGTGGCCGGCAACAAGCTCGCATAGATGGTTTGTGTTATATCCTGTACGTGAAAAGTGAAAAACCGTTTGGTGAGCTGCCTAGTGGTCGAGTGGGTAGCATGCTTGCGTTCTGTCTGTGAGGTCCTGGGTTCGATCCCAGTTGGGTCGATGAATTTGCATTGCTACTGCTGAGACCCAACCAGGTTGAAACAGCTGTACAGCATGCTTCCTAGCTTTTGAGTTTACGCTTCATTTATTCTATACACGCCCCTCTATGAAATGGAATTACAACCTTCATTACTCACATGCAACCCCGTTACGGTTCATCCCGCCAGCTTTATCACACCAGGGGTTTTCGTGACCTGATGTTTACGATGGGTCCAATTTTAATCGCATATGTACCCAGTTCGAAGTCCCTCAATTAACGGTACAAAACTACTGGAATGACCGGGTAGATGGGCCGGGGTGGGGTGGGGACGGAGGTAGAAAGAACGTATCCAGAATATCCATTTATAGCTGAACCGACCGACCGACCGACCAACCAACCAACCAACCAACCAACCAACCAACCAACCAATACACACATGCACACACACACACACACATGGTGAACAAGGTGGGACAGAGTGGGAGAACAGGACGGGTTCAGAATAGTGACAGAGGTGGAATATATCACCGAGACAAAAGAGAATGAGAACTAATTCTCAGGGTGGGAGAGGGGCACGAAGGAATACACAACAACTAGTTGTGGACGGGACATTAGGACAGACCGTGATATATATAGCCCCATGAAAATCGCAAAGCGAGTGTCTTTGGAGCTGTCGTGGTGAGGGCTACTGGTGGGAACAAATCAGATATGGACTATGAAAACGAGGAAGAAAATCGGGGGGCGTGGGGGAGGTGAACGAGAGATGGGAAGTAAACAGTAAGCTGTACAACAGAGTATGTGTTCAAATAGACTGATTGATTGGTAAGGGAGAGAGGGGGGAAGGGGGACAACTGAAAAAAAAAAAACTAGTTAGGGATAAAACCTGGAACAATATGGGCAGAAGTATGAGGGAGAACAGAGGTGGAGGTCTCGCGGACGAAAGTGAGGGTGGGAAAGAATGCTTTGGAAGAAGCCACAAATAAGAAGTGATCGAGTCAAAGTTAGAAGACCATCCGATGCGGATAATCATGCTTGCCCAGCGAGAACAGTGATTTCAGATACTTCACAAGCATACGCGACTGATCGTGCGCCTTGATTGCTTTGCACACGACCGCATCTAGCAATTTTTGGTCGGCTTTGCGTTGTTCACTCGGTTTGTAACCTTCCTCACGATCCCCGTCCGGTTTCAGCAGCAGTGAGTCGTCCAATTTCCGTCGTTTGTTGTCCATTTTGTTTCGGGCAAAATATTCTTTTTTGTGAATCCGTAGCGGGATCACTAACTGTATGAGGTTGAGTTGGATTGGGGAGCGGGGGAAAAGCACGGAGAAGAAAAGTATGCTGCATGAGGAGTCAGTGATAAAAATACTGAAAATAAACGACAGTAATACGATAAAGAATGCCAGCAGAAATTGATAGAGGTTACCGTTTTCTTTTCGAAATTTGAGCACTTTCTAGAACAACCAAAAAGTCCCAACATCCAGAGTACACGGTGAATTAACAGATAAACTCCATTTGCCTGAGCTGTGGGATATATCTCTTAGCAGCGATGTTGTCTGCGATCATAGACTCTATGAGGGTGAGTAAATTTGGTCTTGATGATACGTGCTCTGTTCTTGTCGATACGCAGATTGTTCAAATTGTTTTGCTTATTTCGGAAACAGTCTTTCCCTTTTTGGTCTCAACAAATTAAAACAGCAACACAGTACCATGTCAATCGAAGCCAAATGACTAGATCAGGTAGTCCGTAAATGATTTATCACATATCCTCCAATGAACGCGAAATTCGAGTTAGGTGCTTCCCACAAGTACGGTTAGCTGGACAGAGTGCGGAAGCCGCGTGAAGATAAATTTCAAGGCGGGNCACCACTAAGCATGAGTAATGGTGAGTCGCGGATTTGTCGCTTAACACTATACATTTATGTATATCGTAATGACTAGTATCTGAATGAATCGACAAAATTTCGATGGAAGCATATAAACAATTTTGTGGTTCTTGTCGCTCATCAGGCATGCGTATCCCGTTAATCTTTTGTCAGTTCATTCATCGAATCATAGTACTGATTCTTCTGTTCTGATGAATCATCAACGAAGGCGCTCAGCCTCCACGGATTAAAATGGTTGGGGTATGTGACGTTTGTTTTGACGGCAGTGAGGCTTCCAGATTGAGCTCCACAGGATACATAAAAATATGGCTAAATGCCCAAGCCGGAATTTGTCGCGTATAGAGCGTATAGAATCGTGAACTGGAAAGCTAGAAAGCACGCTGTGCAGCTATTTCGACTTGGGTTGGCTCATCAGTAGCAATGTGAATCCATCGAACCGACTGGGGATCGAACCCTGGATCTCACAGGCAGAACGCAAACATGCTACCTACTTAGTCACCGGGCAGCTGATCGATTCCATTCGATCCCCATTCGGGTCGATGGATCCGCTCACTGCTGATGAGACCCGACCTGTACAGTGTTTCCTAGCTTTTCAGTTCAGGCCTCGTTTGCTCTGTACAAATTATACTCTCATGTAACATGGCTAACCATCACGCAATAAAATCGCTTGTGCATTGTTGGAGTCCCACATTTCACTTGACCTGAACACTTCCATAATTTGGTGTTTCACTTTATCTGTAAAAATTCAAGGTCGAGGGTCACCGACTATACTTGTCATAGGTTCCATTATCGGCACGCGTCACTATCTTTCAAACGGCAATAGAAGAGAACTAAGAACATAGAAATGGGAGATAAAATCTGGAATAAATACACTTTACCCATAGTCATCAAAATACACGTATGATATTGGAGACTGAATTATATTTCCGAAATGAGATTGATGTTCGATGAGTTTGATCAACACCTGCATATATATTCTAAATAGACAACTAATATCAACTGGTATCTTCGTACCTAAGTAAAGCTCACAAGTATCTAACGGACAGCTGGGTTTCAGATGTGTACGAAGACCGTTAGGTAACCATGTCAACAATCGGAGTATGATTAAAATATGATCCATTTGATTGTACTGTTTCCGTAAGCCTCCCGAAAGTTCTCCCATTTGATACAAATAAATTGGACAAAACTACTTGCCCCTCCCCCCGAGCTGAAAAAATGTACACTAGGACACTCCAACAATCTATAATCTTTTTTCTGTTTACATCCAGGTAGAGATACAATTGATGTGACAATACAATTAAACTATACGCCAGTTTCCGTCCTGCTTAGTCTCGTCAGCACTGCGACTCCTTCAACCCGACTGATAACAAGACCCCGGGACATCATATCAGGCAGCTGATCAATGTTTTAATTTTTCCGCAACGCACCATTGCCAGCTTAGTGCAAACACCCAACCTCGATCATTTGGAACTTGTTTGGAAACATTCCAAATGTGACTACTTGCTACTAATAAGTAGTGGAGGATGCCATTCGCTCCATTGTTACCCAGCTTACAGTTTACGGTTCCTTTGTTCTCCGTGTACGACGGACTCCAGCGCATAAATGAGCGAAATCCTTCATGGCTCATTTGAAAGAGCTAAAAACAGCAGCGACATCAACTAGAAAGGACACGATATCATTGGAATCCGCTGGAACAAATTATGTTCATCGTCAGGTTTAAAAGGAAAACAGAAAAAGATTTCGAGCGTCGTAGAAGGTCATATGAATTCTAAGCTTGACTGGATGATGACTGCTGTGTCACTTTAGGCCTTGTGATCGATCGGCCCCTACGGTTGTAAACAAGCCAAAACATGATAGCACATACGTGCCCAAGTGATCAGCTGTACACTTACTGGTAGCAAGCTCACGGAAGTTTAAGAATTTTGAATAAATAATGACGGCACTAAATATGTCATGCAAGAAAAGAAGAAAACCTAATCTGTTTAAATTGTATGGACCACTCTATTCGTGTAGTAATGGGAACATAGTAGTCAGTTGCGGGTTTACTATGACTTTGCACATCGTGCAAAGAATCGAAACGCTAGTTAGATGTGTTCCAGAGCTTTCTCAATTCTGTCGGATATCGGCAGCACACAGCAAATCCGTGGGCGTGGACGCTGGCAAATCCGGGCAGACTAACAGTGACCTAAGACTTGACCAAGACTTGACTATCAGACTCGTGATAAAGATTGATCCATCTTGGTTGCACTTTCTGTTTTTTATCCCGTTCATTCCCTAATCCGAATAGATGTTCCATTGTGCACCACTATCGGAATTCATTTACAATGATGTCGCGTTGATGGCATTATAGTTTAGATGACTTTCTGTGAACTAGAAATCAATATGGGTGATTTCAAAACCAACCAACCCTCCCCCCAACCCACACCCTAATACAGACAACAAAAGAGTAGAATCAGTAGTATGATTGGTAAGCTATACGGAAATTACCGTGAAAAAATAGCTTATGCATAAATGATTTGAGGCGTCAATGCACTTGATTGTCCCAGTACGAATGCGCAGTCATGCCAAACAGATAGATGAATTATGATCGGACAAAAAGGACGCAAAAATACATACGAGACAGATCCAATGCAAAATCGACTGAATCAGCCTAGAGAGTGGGGTGGATAGGGGTAAGGTCGGATGAATAGATGGAGACGGATTGATCGATCGATCGATCCAAACGGATGAGTGATCACATTGAATACTAATCAAACTCTAAACACAATTGAAACGAGACTAGGGAGAACAATGGATAAGCAATCGCTCCACAACAAATTATCGATCGGCCTTCACATAAACGCTCACTCGCGTGGAGGGCGCAATCAGAGAAGCGGAACGAAGTAGTCATCAAGCGGTATAATATTTGTGACCGGATCATCATGAAAGTGGACTGGGAAAATATGTGTCTAACTCAAACTAGGTCCGTGAATTCGTAACATTGACGCATCCTACAAATGTTATCCAAACTATTCCACCACAGTCAGTCAAAATGAATTCCGAATTTGGGATTCGAAATGGTCTAGCTAACAAATCAGGGAGGCAGAAGAGTGGTGAGGGAAAATGGAATTCGCACACGGATATTTTTTTTTGTGGTTTGACATTACTCCAAAATAGATTGAGATCTNGAGATCTTCATAGAATATACCATTATCCAGATGAGCGTTGGTCACGCACAGCGATCAGTCAGGGGGTGGGTGGGTGAGAAGTCCGAAGTAAATATAAGTTTAGGTATAATCGATACGCAGTTTACACACGTACTTAAAACAGGGCTTGTGTTTGAAGACAGAACACTGTAGTTTATCGGTGTCGGATTATTACTATTCGTTTTTAGTATTTCGTTTTTGCTCGTCAGAAGCATTTCACGATCAGTGAACACCGATTTCAAGCCAGGGGAAAAACAAGTCACGGACTTATGAGTGGAAAAGCGCTAGTCACTTTTATCCGACACCATTCGTTCCAGACCGTTTCGTTTGACCTTTTCCGCCATTAATTTACACATTAGCAAAGATTTTCCGAATTAATTGTGACTCTTTTGTGTTGTCCTAGTCACACCATGACAATCGGGAACTTATTACCGGTAATTTGGTCAATTGTTTTTAACAAGTCACATCATCGATTTCTTCGTGTACATGTGATGAGAGATTTTCGGTCACTCGTTGTGCACAGTGTAGCGTTTCTGTGTGTTCTGTTTTCAGGTTGATATCGGAGATGGGGGGAGTTGTTTCACATTTTTCCAAACAAAAATAACCATTACTTGTTTTCTGTCGTCCGGAGATAAATTGTTCTTGAATTGACGGAATCAGAGAGAAAAATGGAGAAATGGAAGAAAGTTTGTGCAATACATATATGAATCGATGCATCTTAAGGGTTTGAATCCAAATTGAGCGATACACAGTTAAGAGAAATTGGCATAAAGCAGTTTGATCGGCACGGCTTTGACAACCCCAGGCAGAAATAATACCATCATGATCGGAGTTCATGCACGAAGCAGAACAGTGCCACTCCACAAGCTCTGAAGATGTCACCTTGGCTGGTGATGAAATGTTTGCTAACAAATTGACACACTCGGCGCAGAGGTAAAATGAAATTAAGATGGTAAGTAAGAACCGATCACGGAGAGATTGGACAATGAAGAGTGCAGGCTGACGCTCCATCAACGAAGGCATGAATTGTCATAAAAGTTGAAGAAGGAAGATCATCAAGGTACATCAGAAAAAGTGGAGGGCAGTACACGACCCTGGGGTATACAAGCATTCACAGACAAGGATTAAGGCATGGTCCCATTTATTCGGACAAACGATGCGGTTGTGGAGATACCTAGCTGTCAAAGTCAACACTTCTGCGAGCCCGAAAAG